GGTAGGTAGGTAGGTAGGTAGGTAGGTAGGTAGGTAGGTAGGTAGGTAGGTAGATAGGTAGATAGGTAGATAGGTAGATAGGTAGATAGGTAGATAGGTAGATAGGTAGATAGGTAGATAGACAGACAGACTCAGGTGTTGACAAGTCAGGGGAGCATTATTCACTGGGGCAGAACACAAGAATTCTTAGACACTGGAAAGTGATCAGCATCATCTTCTTAGAAGTACGGGGCTGGAAAGGACCCTATGGATCATTGAGTCCAGCCCCTGTCTAGGAGGCCCAGTGGGGGGAATCGAACCCCCAACTTGATATCTGAACAGCCAAACTACCCAGCATTTCTGGTGATGCTCCGTCCCATTTCGGTCCTCCAGCATGACCGTCTTTGTGGGCTTTGGTAAGAGAAGCCTCCATGGAGTACCACCTGTAGCTTCTGCAGCCCGGCTAGGAGGTGATCCTCCATCTTGTGTGGCCAAGTGCCTCACGCCTTGGCGTGGCAAGATGTGCCAGGTCGTGTGCCGGGGGGGCGGTGGCTTCGGTGTCGGCGCGACCGCCGTTTGCACTTCAGAGGTTTTGAGACCCTCTCCCCCACCACCACCACCACCACCTCCAGAAGGGCGGGGAAAGGGAAAAGAAAAAGAGAAGCCTTTAATTATCTGAGCAATTAATTCCACTCAGCATCACTGATTAGGAGGGGAGGTCGACCCAATGTCAATAGGGACGTTTATTTAATGAGGTAATGACGACCAAGGATGGGGGGGGGGACGACCCCTGGCAAATTCCCCAGCCTGGGTGAAGAGGAAGGAGGGCTCCACCTGAATGGGGCCGAACGGGGGGGGGGCAGACGCATTCATGGAGGAGGGAGAGCGTTTCTCATTATTGAGGCACAAAAGCTTTCAGAACGGCTTCCTCCAGGCCCGACTCTGGGAATGTTGCCCACTGCCACGGAGTCTGGAGAGGCATTCCCTCTTGGCTGGCCAAGTCTCCTTCCCCCCCTCTCAACCCACCACCTCGGACTCCAAAAACTGCCCTTTTCTCCGCAAGGCGCTCGTCCCGTCCTCTCCAGGGTGGGGACCGGGGTTCAGTCCTGGCATCTCCTCCAGCCTGGAGCGGGGCCAGCGCTTGGCACCACTGGCGCGGGGGGGGGAGGAGAAAACCCCTCCATGTGGGAAGCACGGAGGGCCCATTTGGTGCACTTCTCCCGGGCTGCGGGGAAGTGGCGCGGCGCCTGCTGGGAAGGCCGCCAGGCTGGCATCTGCCGGTTCCCATCCGCTGCGGATTTATGGCTTGAATGCCAGGCGCAGCGTGTGTGTGGATCGGCTGATAAATACACAGGCCGTGGCGGAAGCACAAAGAAGCCGCCTCTCCGAGCCCTCGGCTCCCCAGCTGGCCAGAGAAGAGCGGACAGGTGAGAGCGACCCATCTCTCTTTGCCCTTTGCTGTTGGGCCGGAGAAGATGTAGGGTGCAAAAGGAGGGACCTGTTGGGGAGGTCTTGGCTGTTCAGTGCATTTTTTTCCCCCACTCGCAGCGTAGTGTAGTGGGTAGAGCGACAGGCTGGAAGTCTGCAGAACAAGGTTCAATTCCCCTCTCAGCCATGGAAGCTCACTGGGGGTGTGGAACTGGTAAAACCCTTCCATAAATATCTCACTTATCTTGGAGCCCTATTTAGGGTTGCTGTAAGTTCATTCCTGACTTGATGGTACACAACACCACACACATACACATACACATACAGATACACATACACATACACACACACTGGAGCCCTATTTAGGGTTGCTGTAAGTTCATTCCAGACTTCACGGAACACCACACACATACACATACACATACACATACACATACACATACACATACACATACAGAGAGAGAGAGAGAGAGAGAGAGAGAGAGAGAGCCATTTGGATGCACAGGAAGCTAATCTGTGTTTCTTATGCCCCATCAAGCCACCTCCGACTCACATTGATCCTATGAATGAGTGATCTCCAACATGTCCTTTCCTCAGTTGCCGTTGCAAACTCAAGCCAATGGCTTCTTTTAGGGAGCCGGTCCCTCTCACATTGGGTCTTCCTCTTTTCCTGTTGCCTTCACCCTTTCCCAGCGTTACTGCTTTTTTTCCAGCCCAGAGCTGGGCTAAGGAAAGATGATCTTCTTGGGGGAAGCCTTCCGCAGCAATCCATGGGTTGGTTCCTATAGTCTTGTACTGCTTCATTTAAAATCCTGGGAATTCCGGGAGCTGTTTCCCAAATCCGGTTTAAAGCCTTTGTTTACCGTCCATGTTCACGTTAGGAACTCCCATATTCACACGACACAGCGCTTGCAAAAAGCTGCTGAGGGTCAGAACACCCCAACCCTCACCCACATGGGGTCGGCAGTAGGCGAGGAAGTCTAAATAATAACAAAGCTTTTTATTTACACGGCCAAAGGTCTTGTCCATTTATTCCTCACCCATTCGCTTTTGTGCGTATGTATCGGTTGGAGTGGGGGGAGGAAGGAATGGAAAGACGAATATGTACAGGAGGGGAAATTGCCGCTGCGCTGCATATATTAGGACAATTATCTTGCAGAAACTGCATATATTAGGGGAGATGGCATCTATTGTGGGAAATGCATACCAAGATACCCATGCGGTTGTTGATAAACACAAGCACAGGAGCGCAACGACCGGATGCTTCGAAAATCAAATGCGTCCACCTCGCAACAGCCAGATTTCGGCAGCCTTCATTCCTGCATGAATCATTTCGGTTGCCAAATCCTGCCGGAAGGCGTCTCCCTTCCGCCTGCAGAAGGCCTCCCTTCCAGCCACGTACCAGAAAGAGCCACGAACAGGGCTGTTTCGTGGTTCTGTTCAGGGATCCGGTTTTGCCAAAATGAAAAGAAGTGTCGAACTTTTTTTGGCCCTCAGCGCTTCGTTTTCTCCTCTGGGTGCGAACCCGAAAAACGGGTTTGAAACATGATTGTTCGTGGGTCATGATTTGTGGGTAGCCAATGAGTTAGTGTGTACGTGGATCGTGTGATGACTGGTCCAGAAGAAAAAATGATGGGGAAAAGGTCATAGCTTTCACCTGGAAAGGATGTACTGTACATTTTCACAAATGCCTCTAGATTTTTATCTTGAACTGATGGGAAATTGTGTTGTCCTCCGGATTAGGTTGACACATTCTTCCTTAGACAGGAACAAATCCTCCTTCTCTCACTTCACATGTTTACCCGGTGACCTTTGGAGGTCTATCTGTCTTAACTGCAATTTACTATTATGTCTTAATGATAAAAAGTTGTCAAAGGTCAGGATGCGTCCCTGGGCGATTTTTATCTTGAACTGATGGGAAATTGTGTTGTCCTCCGGATTAGGTTGACACATTCTTCCTTAGACAGGAACAAATCCTCCTTCTCTCACTTCACATGTTCACCCGGTGACCTTTGGAGGTCTATCTGTCTTAACTGCAATTTACTATTATGTCTTAATGATAAAAAGTTGTCAAAGGTCAGGATGCGTCCCTGGACACCAAGATCATCCATATTCTTGTATTTCTGATCACGACGTATGGGTGTGAAAGCTGGACAGTGAAGAAAGCTGACTGGGGGAAATGATTCATTTAAAAAGTAGTGCTGGAGGAGAGCTTTGCAGATTCCCCGGACGGCCATAAAGACGAACGAAGAGGTCCTAGATCAAATCAAGCCCAAAATATTGCTGGAGGCAAAAGTGTTGAAACTGGGGCTCTCCTATTTCAGGCACATCCTGAGAAGGCAGGATTCTTTGGAAAAAGACAATCATGCTGGGAAAGGTGGAAGACAGCAGGAAAAGAGGAAGAACCCATTATGAGATGGACTGATTCCCTAAAAGAAGCTACAGGCTTGAGTCGGCAAGCGCTGAGCAGGGCTGTTGAAGAGAGGACATTTTGGAGAGGGCTCATTCATAGGGTCACCAGACGGTGGGAGTGGCTTGATGGGACTTAACAACATGAACATGTGTGTGTGTGTGTGTGTATGTGTTGTGTTGTGTTTGTTTGTGCATTGTATGTGGCCTTGGGTCCTTCCTTAAGGGGAAAGGTGGTGTAAAAAAATCTCAAATAATTAAATTTCATCCCTTTAAGAAGAGGAAGGCAGGATGTTAAGTAAGTAAGTAAAGTAAGTAAATAAGTAAATAAGTTAGTTAGTAAGTAAGTAAGCAAGCAAGCAAGCAAGCAAGCAAAGGAGTTCGTGATAGTCATTATTAATTACTATTTTTTCTATCTCTGATTTGTGCATTTGTAAACGTCTGACCCTTGACCCTGCCAGGAAGTTAATTCTGTCCCTTTTTGCTTGGGCGGGAAGAATGACGGTGCTCATCTATGACATATTTATCACCTTTCAACAACATTTTAACAACCTCCATTGAGGGTGCCCGCTGTCAGTACACTTTGCATTTTCCATCCCCCATATTTCTCGGTCCTGCTTCTTTATCCGTGCGGGGATGAACCCCTGCGTCTGCTGAGCCTGCACTTCATGCATCGGATGCAGCGGTCCACAGTCGATGAGAGCCGGTGCAAAAGAAAACTGGCGAGGGCGCCATGCGTCTTTGGGTGCTTGCACCGGAGAGGCACAATGGGCCGCGGCTCATTGTCAAGAGGCCAGGGCCCGTCTCTGTTGCACAAGGGGGTGCCTCACGAGGTGGCAACCGGGACGCTCCTTGAACCTCATCAATTAGCCGCAATTAGCAGGACAGAGTTCCTCCAGCCTTCCATGAACACCATTGGGATTCTGGTCTTTGTTTTGTTTTCATTGTATTCATTCCCTAAAAGGATCCTAGTGAACAAAAGCTCGGAAAGGCGTAATTCCTCCTGAAAAATGCTGAGAAGCAGGAGCAGGCAGGTCATGACTGGGAGAGGGAGTGCTCTTCCCGATTCTGAGGGTTAGGACCGCGAGCCACTCCGAGGATCAAGAACAGGGGACAAAACTGCTTGGGTTGGGCTAGATGTTCCCTGATCTCTCTCTCTCTGTTCATGTTGTGTTGTCCCACAGAGACGCTGATGGACTCTACCACGGCAACAGCAGAACTCGGCTGGACGGTGCATCCACCATCGGGGGTGAGTATGATTCCTCCAGGAGCATGACACTGACGCATCTCCCAGTGCCTCTCTACACTGGGAGGTGTTTAACTGGTGTGGCTTCATACCTGCAGGGCCATGGGGTTTGTCATTGGTCAACTACACTTGGCAGCGTCGTTAAGAGGAGCACTCAAGCAGAGAATCCAAAGCCTCTCACCCAACTCATGAGTCCAAACCATCCCACTGACATTAATATTATTAAGTGCTTTTTAAAATATTTCAACTGGTAGAGCAGTCACTGCTGCCCCCCGCCAGCTGTCGTTGGCCAACCCAAGTCCCTTAATTGAGAGAAAGGTGAGCTAGAAATTCAGCCATCCATCAAACAAAGGAACAAATCCTTTGCACGTGCTGAGAGAGCCTCCCAAACTGTGTCCTGCACGGGCTGGCAGCAGCTCCTTCAGGTTACGATTCTTCCAGTGAGAGACTAAACTCAGGTTTGCCTGTCAGTGAGGGGGTTCCTCCCCTAGGCAATGTAAGGAGATACAGTGGTGCCTCGCTTGACGATGTTAATTCGTTCCAGCAAAATCGCTGTAGAGCGAAAACATCGTCAAAGGAAATTAAAAAAACCAATTGAAACACATTGAAAACTATTCAATGCATTCCAGTGGGCGGAATACCTGCTCGTCCAGCGAAGATCCTCCATACGGCGGCCATTTTCGGTGCCTGTAAAGTGAGGAATCCATCCTAGAAAACAGCAAGGGGACGTTTTCTTCAGCCGGCGGCGGTCATTTTGAAACCCGACGATCAGCTGTTTGCTGATCATGGTAAAGCGAAAATCGGTTCCCAAAGCAGGGAACCGATCATTGTTAAACGAAACAACCCCATTTAAACCATCGTTTTGCGACCGCAAAAGTGATTGCAAAATCCTAATCGTATTGCAATTTCCTCGTTAAGCGAGGCAATCGTTAAGTGAGGCACCACTGTAATGAAGCCGTGAGGTCTCAGATTGAACTGTTTGTCCATTGAGTTTAATATTGGCCACTCTGACTGGCAGCACCTCACCGGTGCCACTGTAGACAAGAGACTTCTATTCAGCTCTGTTTGGACATGGTGTGGATGGCACCCAGCACTTTCTGAATGAAAAATGTTAGCTGTACATTTGAGCTGTGGAATCTTTCCTATTAATATGGAGGCATGGCAGTTAAATAGAGCAACAGAGAGAGAGAGAATGTGAATCTATGAATAAATTATATAAAGACGTATGATTCTGCATGCTTTAGCAAACAGCTTCCCCCTCCTGAAAGCCATGTTGAAGCCCTCCCCCGAAAATGTACAGAGAGAAGGGGGCAACGCTTATTGCTCACTTGTGAATGAACATCACCTCTGCCTCTCGGCCGTTTCCCGACTGCGATGCCGTAAACGCGTAGAATAATTCCGATAAGGCTGACAGCACTAATGAATGCAATTAGTTGATTAATTAACTTCCCCGCAGATTAAAAAATATGGCATTTAGCGGAGGTGTGTGCACGCGCTGGGTCGGGGGGCATGGACCGCCAACGCCATTGTTACAAAGAGCAGTTGCCATTCTTGGCCGGGAGCATCATGGATGCAGGATGATAGTTTCTTTGATATTTTGCTAAGCCTACTGAGTTTACAGATATGCAAATATTCTCAAAATAGACCCAATATGTCACCTGATTCTTTCTCTGTGTTTTTTTTCTTAATCTCTGCTTTCTGTTTGTGATGCAGCTATGTAAGTAGTTGCGTGACCAGATCCACCCTGCTTTGTCTCTTCTTCCAACAGATAGCTGCTGGTTGATTAATACATTTGTATCTCACCTCTATGAGATGAATGAGCTGCAGGCCACTTATCAATTGGGGGCGGGGGGGGGTAGGCGGATGAAATGCCTCTTGAAACAGCACACATGAAATCTACCAACAGGTAGTCAATCACAGAAGCAGCAGGAGACACAAACACACAAAACTGATAGGATCAGGGGAAGGTGGCAAAGCATTTAGAGACGGCAGCCCTTTTAAAAGGCTCCTGATCTGATCACCTTTTCTTCAGATTTAGCACGCGCACATATATCCAGAGAGTTCCAGATCTTTGGTGCCTTACGGACAAGGCCAGGGGAGAGAGAAAAAACATCCCGTAATTTCACACCAACAGTCCAAAGCAGATCCTCCCAAGAAGATGGTGAAATGTATGGAGAATCAAAGAATAAATTGAGTTGGAAGGGGCGTACAAGACCGTTGAGTCAATGCAGGAATGCAAATTGAAGGAAATCTGCCAGATGGATATATAAATTTGTCTTGAATGCTACTCTCACAGTTATAGAATTTTTCTTGATATTCAGCAGAAATCTGGCTTCCTGTAACTTAAACACATTTTTGCATGTCCTGCGCTTTGGGATGATCAAGAACAGATCCTGCCCCTCCTCTGTAGGACAGCCTTCGTTCATTCATTCCATTTTTATACTACTTATATCTGACCGGTGGTCGCTCTGAGTGGTTCACCACGCGATAAAACTTAACGGTAGCATCACATAGCCGAAACCCCAAAGGAAAGTACAGAACTGCTATTAAAGACCAAGGATTTAAGCGATTTAAAAAATGATTAAAAGTAGACCTTAACCGAGTTAACCTCGAAGCAAAATCCGGAGCTGGAGTCCCGAAGGCAGTTCGTGTCGTTCTGCCAACTCCTGCGACGTTGCTGGTACCAGTTGTGTTGGCTCTTGCCTTTCCATTGGACCATTTCAGCGACGTGGAGAGGGGGGATTTGCTGCTTGGGTAACAGCCTATCCTCCATATTATTTTATGCAGGGTTCGTGCTCTGGAGAGGATACTCCTCGATACAGAGCATGTTACCATAGTCTCTCGATACTGAAGGATGCCTATGTATCCCCCCCGTCTCCTTATCTCAAGGCTAAACACAGTTATTTCAGTCTTTCCTCCTACGGCTTGGTTTCCAGTCCCCCTGATCCTCCTGGTTGCTCTCTGTTAAGCTTGCTCCAGTTGCCATCCTTCTTAAGGTTCAAGTGGTTGCATTCAGAGTTTGGAGAAGCTTAATTTGCTTTATTACAGTCTAGGATCGGTATTTTAAAAAACTAATACAGTACAAAAATGTGCAATAGATATTTTCCCAAATCCACCTGTTTTGTTATTTTATTTTATATTGTGTGGCTTTTTATCTCATTTACTTATTTACCCTTATTTACTTATTTATTTATTTACCCTTGCTTTAAATAAAGGTCTGAGTTCTAGTCCAAGATGCTCTTTTGCTCAGTGGCTGGTGAGCTGCTTCTGAGAAGCCCATCAAGGGACAGGTTTTCCCAGCCAGGCAAAGCAAAGCAAAACGAGGCCATCACAAGCTGTCGCTCGTCCGCCCAGAGGCGGGGAGCTAGTCTTTAAGGGTGTTGGGAGCCATGTCCTAGAAAGTTCCATTTCTTTCCATCCTGCCCTTCCCTCGCTTGGCTTTCATCTATAATCCAGCACATTTTGACATTTTGCAGGTCTCCTCAGCGCCGCAAATCCTTTTTGATCAGAGACCATAGCAGGGTAAAAAAAAGAAGAAGAAGAAGGGAGGGTGCTCACCCGTTGCTGTTAATAATTCCTAATATTAAGCACATGAAAGAACATCATATGGAGATTCGTATTAACCGCACAACTTCTAGCAGGAGAAGAAAGAGAAAAGGAAGCCACACCGGATCGGGGTGTCTATAGCAGTGGTCCCCAACCTTGGGCCGCCAGATGTTCTTGGACTACATCTCCCAGAAGCCTTCACCACCACCTCTGCTGGCCAGGATTTCTGGGAGTTGAAGTCCAGGAACATCTGGAGGCCCAAGATTGGGGAACCACTGGTCTATAGCACTTAGTCATACTGGCTGTTTCTGACTTGAAGGATAAGAAGCAGCCACTTTATATTAGAGACAGGGTGCTGTTGCATCTATGTTCTGCTTGTGGGCTTACCGTGGACATCTGGTTGACCACGAGGACAACAGAAGCCCAGACCGGATAGAAGGCTTTGGTCCAGGGAAGAAAGGTGGTTTTTCTCATGTTCTTCTACATGGGCCAGAGATGTTTCCACCCCTAACACAAATTCACACCATCCATCAGAGCATTTCTCTTTAAGATCATCTGCCCAGACCACCTGTTCTACCCAAGCTTCACAGCTGGGTGTGGTCACCCCAAGAGAGATCCAGAAAACTACTACCAAGAACTGGACGTTCTTGGTGGTGGATGCAATGCTATGGAAAGCATTACCTATGGACATGCACTGGGCTTCATCCTTCTTGATCTTCAGGAAACATGTGGCAGCGGAGCGTTTCAAGGAGGTGGGATGGTGTGTGTTTTAATTTGTTGTTAATAGCCTAAAGTAGTGACTTGCCATGATAGTTGGCATATAAATGGAAGGAAGGAATTGATGGAAGGAATGGATGGATGGATGGATGGATGGATGGATGGATGGATGGATGGATGAGTCAAGAAGGAAGGAAGGAAGGAAGGAAGGAAGGAAGGAAGGAAGGAAGGAAGGAAGGAAGGAAGGAAGGAAGGAAGGAGAGTCCTTCTTGTTGTGTTCTGTTGGGAAAAAGTGGGTGCTCCATTATTCATCAGAGAAGCTAATGCAGAATTGCAAATTTCATGGTAGGCAGGAACCTAAGAAAATCAAGTAGAAATTCCTCAACTGGTGATGACTGGTGACTCTAATTCCAGAGGCTCTTGACATGTGAGCAAGGGGGCTAGGGAAGCTGCACGTGTGGTGGATACGATGGCTTCAAGCCTTGCTTGGTTCACTGCTGTCATAGACTAGGAGTGCTGCATCTCCATTCAAACAGAAGCTGCGTCTAGGTAGACCACCTCCCATCTCCATTCCACCTCATGCTCTGCAGCCGATTTCTCAGCCTTAGGCACCACTGAGCCCACTGGGGCTTTTTGTGCATAGCTCGAGGCTGCCACTGCTTTCAGACAACTCATCGGAAGAGAAAAGGTCCAGGGGAGCAAAGTGCGAAGGTGCTTCCGGGTGGGGAAAGCAGCCTAGGCAGGATACAGCTAGAATCATCTGCCACCTGTCCAGGAGATGCAGATGAGGACTTATGTTTTAGAGAAGCAGACGTAGACCCGGTGCTTAAGACGGCTGGGGAGCGATCTCTCTTCAATTAGCAAATATATTATTAATACACTTTGCGGTTCTGGAAGATGGATGAGTAATTGCAGGCATGGGAATTGGACAGTGGGCTTAGTGATGCTGCAGAGGTGAAATTACTTAGAAAAGTTAGCTTGGGACTACAAATCCCAGAATCAGCCATCCAGCATGGGAACTGTAGTCCTAGTGAGTCATTTTTCTAATCCCAGATGGTGCTCCAAAAATGTCACCACGTGGTGGACATCTCCTGGACTATGCATATCTAGCAATGACTTTCCGTGTCTCTTCCAGAAGAACTATGGGATAGCTTAGAGGTTCAGGCACCTGGCTGCAGAGCCAGAGGTTCAGAGTTCGATTCCCCACTGGGCCTCTTTGACTTGATGATCTATAGGATCCCTTCCAGCTCTACCATTCTAAGTTTTTTTTCCCCCTCCACAGTGGGAAGAAGTGAGCGGGTACGATGAGAACATGAACACGATCCGGACTTACCAAGTATGCAATGTGTTTGAATCCAGCCAGAATAACTGGCTGAGGACCAAGTACATCCGGAGGAGAGGGGCCCATCGTATCCACGTGGAGATGAAATTTTCTGTAAGGGACTGTAGCAGCATCCCCAGCGTGCCTGGATCGTGCAAGGAGACCTTCAACCTCTACTACTACGAGTCCGACTATGATGCTGCTACCAAGACGTTCCCCACTTGGATGGAGAACCCTTGGATTAAAGTGGACACCATCGCGGCGGACGAGAGCTTCTCTCAGGTGGACCTGGGGGGCCGGGTGATGAAGATCAACACGGAAGTGCGAAGCTTTGGGCCCGTCTCCAAAAATGGCTTTTACCTGGCCTTCCAGGATTACGGCGGTTGCATGTCCTTGATCGCCGTCCGCGTCTTCTACCGCAAGTGCCCACGGATCATCCAAAACGGAGCCATTTTCCTGGAGACCCTCTCTGGGGCAGAGAGCACCTCGCTAGTCGCAGCTCGGGGCACCTGCATCCCGAATGCGGAAGAGGTGGACGTACCTATCAAGTTGTACTGCAATGGCGACGGGGAGTGGCTGGTGCCCATTGGGCGCTGCATGTGCAAGCCGGGTTACGAGTCGGTGGAGAACGGGACGGTCTGCCGAGGTAAGTGACCATTGCCAAGGGCCGGTTGAGCCCCCAACTGGATGTGTTGAGTATTCCAGGATGAAGAGAACGGTGACTGTATCCCCATTGGTGGTTTTGGGTGTACAAATCAAATCAAGTCAGTTCTGCTGGTAAATGGCTTCCAATTAACAAGATGCTGGTTGCTTTCCTGGTCTCGTGCTTGTTGTCTGGCGGGATGCACAACTGGGGACTCAACCAGCACTTTATTAATCAGTGACTGGTCACCATGATTCACATGGTTTCACTCCTGCATTTCTAAACTGCTAGTTTTTTGTGTATGTTCATGTGGATGCAAGTTGTGCCATGTGTGCTGTAGCATGAGATGCCACCCCCTCGCTGGCTTAGACCATGGACTGCTGGTGATGGACTTATATTTTGCCTCTGATAGCCACCAGGACTAGTAACTCACTCATATTTTGAAGCTATCTAAGCTGGCAAACACTCCTCATATCTTTTGGCAATGAGTTCCACAGGTCACCTGTATTGACTCTATCACCATGCAGCTTTGTGAGGTGACCCCAGCTCTGTCCACTGAAAATTCCTGTGTCTGCCAAAATGGGGTGAAACAAATGAATGTAGAATGTGATGTTTCTGCTCCTTGGTGTGGCTTTCTGAAAACATTGACGGGACCTCTTTTTTTTTTTTTCAAATACTTGATATCAGTATTAAGTACTCTAGTGACAAAATCAAATAGATTTGTTGAGACACTTTTTGTCCCAGCTGGTTTTTGACTGTAGAAAAAGTGTATGGAGCAAGTGGCTGAAAGCTGGAAATATTTTCCAAAATCCTGTTGAGTACAATACATCTGCGTAAGGACAATGGCGTTGGTAGCAGAAGGAGATTGCTGGTAATTAAAAAGTTCCTGCTTCAATGTTGTGGCTCTTGAGACTCACCTGCAATGAGTTATATTGTGTGCCAGTCGGGTCAGACTCAGAATCGAAGCAGGAAGTTTCTCCCTGCTACTGACATCGTCACCCTTATGCAGACATAATTTGCTCAACAGGATTTGGGCCCCTGTTTATCATTTTCCAAGGCATAAGGTTGAGTAACATCTATGCTGCAGATCTAGCCCAGAGTGACTTCTGCAACAAGATGCGATGGAGGGATATGAAAACTGTCCTTCTGCCTTGAAGACAGTTGCAGAGCTGAGAACACAAAGCATACGTTTCCAAAATGTTCATATGGTATTGGTCTGTAAAGGAACGATGGGGCAAGCTTTGAAAGAGATAAACATTATTAGACTTGCCATCAACAAGATATAGCAAGCGCTAGGCTGAAGCCCAGCTGAGAATATGCAGAAGGCCTCTACATAAACTATGTATGTAAACTTTGCCATCATCTGTCAAGCAAGCAGATAAATTGCACAGCTCTCTGCTTCCCGAAACGTCTTTGACCCGGTTCCCCCGGGCTTTCAAAATAATCTCTTGGGGATGGTTGCTTAGCTCCTTCTGAGCCGCGAATCTTGGAATTAGACGAAAGCAATCACAACCGAATACCAGAAGTGGAAGCCCTTTCAGTGTGTCTTCAGACTCTTGTTTTCCATTCTGAGAAGGTTTTCTTGAAGGCATAATCCATTGAGATCAGTGTGCATTCATTCCTCTGTGGAACCGAGTCATGGTAGACTTTATCAGCCGCTCTTTCCTCCGCTAACGCTTGATGCTGCTCTTTGGTGGCATGGCCAAGAAGATCGGTTGAGGAATTGCATGGTCCGTTAGTTTGCAGGATGCTTTCCAAGATATGGTTGTGTTCATTTGTTCCAGCTTCCTCGGGAGGTGGAGAAACGGAACCTTGTTGCAGTTGTCAGATGAACAGGTTTATCTTAGTACAGTGGTGCCCCGTATAACGAGTGATTAGTTTAACGATGTGTTTTTTGCGGTCGCAAAAGCGATCGCATAACGATGTTTTAAATGGCAAAACATTGCTTTGCGATGATCGGTAAGCTTTTCACTTACCGATTTTCGCATTGCAATGTTTTAAAAACAGCTGATTGACGGTTACAAAAATGGGTTTAAAAAAATGGCCACCCGCAGTGTTTTCGCGCCCTTTCCTCGCTTACCGGGCAGCGAAAATGGTGGCTGTATGGCAGATTTTCGCATAGCGGTGAATTTTTTCCCTATAGGAACACATTAAACGTGTTTTAATGCATTCCTATGGGCTTTTTTGCCCCGCATAGCGACGAATCCGTATAGCAATGATTTTTTCGGAACAGATTATCATCGCTATGCGGGGCACCACTGTATCTGATTTCATGGGTCACAATTCACTTCTTCAGATCCATAGAGTACAATATTTATGTGCCAATGGAAACATCATGGTTATGGGATGAGAGAGAAATGGGGTAAAGAAAATGACAATTCCATTAGGAGCCCTGATCATAACTGCAAAAGGCTGGTTCTCGTAAACACCCTGGCAGTGAGAAAAGTAGTTAAATCATACGAACAACTGGAAATGATTACACTTCTAGATTAATTTAATTGCCTCTGAAGTGTTAAACCAATATATTCAGTGTTAGTACTGAAACCAAAGTGCCCTATTGCATCTATTAAACATTTTTTTCTATACCTAAAATTATTGTTTAAAAAGCCACAGTCTATTATTGCATATAGCGCACCAAAAAGCCATTGTACTGGTTTAAACCTCTGGTTATACACTGGAGTTTTTAGATGTATTCCTGTCCAGCTCTTTCCTTTGCAAATTATCTCTACAAATGAGAAAGGCAGGATGTAAATGAATGTCTGGAAGTGTTCTGGTATTTTTATCCGTTCGGGTAGTTAACGTCTGTCACTTGCCATATATGATGTCAGATTTGTGCCTTTGTTTTCTCATCTGCAAGATGGTTCTGTTTGCCTTGTATAGAAAGTGGGGAAAACTGGTGGCAGTGGAGGCAGAGACCACAATAGAAGAGGAGCATGTGAAGGAACTCCCAATGTCATGTGCAAAATTTCTGGGACCTGTAGTTGCATTGCTAGAATCAAGGTGGGGATGGAGTTGACATCTAGGTTTGTGCCAGGCTGCTGCTGCTTGTGTGTCCATGTTGTCTGGCCCGTTGTGGGTGTGTAGGAAAACTCTCTTCCATGGAATGCTTGTGGACTTCGCATGATTAAGAGATGAGCACATATCCCTATCCATATGTGGAGCTCCTTTTCTGCCCAAGATGCCCTCCTATTTAACATGCCAGCTTGTTTTGCAGTTCTGGAGTCCACTGTTCTGTCCTTAAATATCAAGGCAGGAAAGCCTGATCCATGTGTCTGTCTTGGGTATACCACCTCCGTCACCCTCCCTTCCCCTTTCTGGAAATCTCTTTTTTTTTCCCCCTTGGGTTTCGCAATGGCTTTAGTGCTCAGTCTGCCTGTGAGCCATGATCTTTGCTCAGAAGATGCAGAACAAACAGTGTTCTACCAGAGTTTGGGCAAGTATCAAGATGAATTCTAGATTTGCACAGGCTCAGTGGTTTGGACCAATCTATGTGCGAGAGAACTGGACAATTAGCTCATATGGCCGTACCACTCGAACAGATGGGAGTTTCTTGAACTGTGCTTGAATAGAACTGTAACGCTATGGAGCCATCAAAGGCCATCAAGTCCATCTCTCACTGGGATCAAGTTACAGGAAGCCAGATTTTGATTGAATATCAGGAAAAACGTCCTAACTGTTAGAGCAGTATGACGATGGTGAGCTTTCCAACACTGGAGGCCTTCAAGAGAAACCTAGACAACCACCTGGCAGATATCCTTCGATTTGTATTCCTGCATCAAGCAGAGGGTTGGACTTGATGGCCTTATAGGCCCCCTTCCAAGTGAATCATTGGCTGAAATCCAACTAGAGTAGGTCTATTAAATCAATGCAACTGACAGAGGAATTGACTCACCCAGTCGCCACTGATTTAATGGGCCTACTCTAGTTGAGCTACTACTGGATTTCAGCCCCTATGAGTCAAACTACCTTGCTAATAACGTGGAAGGAGCAGAATGTAGAAATAACATCAAAGGAATGGATAGCATCTATGCTGACAGGAGTCATTGGGTGATAGCTAAAAGCCGGAAAAATGCAGAGCAGTTGAATGCTTGTTATATGGAATTGTGGCAAATAGCCATGACAGAAACATTTGATGCATCAATTTAAAATTCGCTCAGGATATGGCCGAACTAGCTCTTTTCCCCTTTGAACAATGCCTGAAATCCTGTTGCGCTATTACACCCAAGGTGTGAATTCTGGAAGTGAATCGGTCAAGTTACGAAATCTGTATAAGATTTGCCTGCTATGTTATGTAACGCAAGTTACGAAATCTGTATAAGATTTGCCTATGTTATGTAGCTCCTCATTGATTTATTGATTTATATAATTTATCGCTCCATTAGCGCCATGTGCTGTTCTGGGTGACTTGCAGCAATCATGAATAAAATACTGAAACAAATACTGTTACGCTATAAATATACACACACAGTGCACACAACTAGGAAGTTAAAACCGAGGATCAGATCACACATGTGGTGCCAATGGCAGGTTCACATTGAGACAACAGAACTGGGGCGTAAAATCAGGTGGGGTCAGTGTGGAAGGCCTCCCTGAAAGGAACTGTCTTAAACTGCCTCCTGAAAGTTAACAGAGAGGGATTCAAGTGTAGCTTAAGTTGCCTTCTAAATGTGGGAGCTGGTTCCATAAAGTTGGTGTCACCACGAAGAAGGCCCGACCCCTTGTGGATGGCTTTTGGGGCTCCCTTAGGTGGCTACTTCCCCATTGCACTTAAACCACTATCTGGGCGGTGTACAATTTAATTATGCAGGTTGCATATCCCCTCCCTCCAGCAGTGTACAATTTAATTATGCAGGTTACATATCCCCTCCCTCCACGAACTAGGTACTCATTTTACTGACCTCGGAAGGATGGAAGTCTGAGTGAACCTAGAGCCAGCTACCTGGGATTGAACCCAGGTTGCATGTGGAGTTTTGGCTGCGGTACTGCAGGTTAACTACTCCACC